AGAAAGAAAGGGAGAAAAGGCTGTGAGCTGGTAGGTGCTGTGTGTGTCTGTGCGTGTGTGCGGTTGTGAGTGAGTGTGAGTGCCCGCCCAACCTCCCCTGTCCCCATCTCCGTTGCCACAAGTCCCCACCCACCAGAGTCTGCTGCGCGCCCAGCCTGGGCATTAGCTCGAGCCCCCCGGTCATTGTGGATGTGACGGACCCAGGGTGTTTACATATTAGGATTGCTTCCCCTAAACCAGGACAGAAACAAACCTGAGGGAATGACCTGAGATAAATGAGCCTTTAGTGTGGGATTTTATGTGTGTCTGGCTGCTCTCCTCAGCCAGGCTGTGTTTACTGTTCGCTGCAGCTATTAGTTTCAGAGGCTAATATCCCCTCTGAGGTCCTTGTTCTTGTCTGTGCTCCTGTCTTTGGTGCCTGAGCTCTGTCACTGACCATCCTGCGTTATTGTACCGGAGGGGCCGTGCTGTGGTTGGCAAGGTGTGGTGGGCTTTGCTTGTGCGGGGCAGCATTCCATTGGTTTGGGCAGCCAGGTGGTGGTGTTGGGCTGTGAATTGTTTCTCCTGACTTTTTATCAGCGTAGGCAGGAATTCTGTGTATTGTTGCCAAAACAGTTCATCAAATGAGATAGTAGGTTTCAAAATTAGGCCGTGGGAGTGATTTGTCCTTTCTTCATTGTCCATTTTTATTTGGGGGGTGGGGAGGGGAAAGCTTATTTTGGAGATTTCAAACCATATTTGATTGTGCTCTGTCTGATATCACTAGGAAATCGTAGAGTTGTTTTGTATAGTGGATATACATCTTCGGTATCTATTTATAAAAATAACCAGGATTAACTTGTCATAGCTCTTTGATGTACTTGACAAAACATGAGAATTATACATCTCTTCCCCCCGCCCAACATTTGGATCGTTGTTTATCTTCAACTTGAGAAATGATCACCAGCTTATATATATGTTAATTTGATGGTTTACTGTCAACCCATGCCAATCAGATTTTGCATTAAATACTAAAGTTCTTTCCATGAACCCTGAAGGTTTTGATGATCGTAATGTCGTTTTGACCTGAGGACTTTTTCAGTTACATGAGCTTGGTGGTTTATTAAATGTCATGCAGACTTGAGATCCAGGATAAATTTAGCTGTTGCCTTTTTTGCCCACACCTTTGATTAGTGATTCTGTCAGTGGACAAAAAAAACATAGATAGTGGTTGTTATCAAGTCCGTGTTGATGGAGATCTGAACCGAGTCTTTAATACCTTTTCTTGTAGGTTGTTGATTATATCCTGCCACCCTTGGTCTCCTTGGTTCAAAGCCAAAATGGTAAGTGACCACATCTCCCAGAATTCCATCGGTTACACGTTCGGTTCCATTCCATCGCCATGGAGTCACGCTCTTGGCGTTCTTTCTTTTCAAGTGGAGTGGAGGCTCTTCAGCTTGCGGTTGCTCTCAGAAACCACATCTCTGCTGGTGAACCAGGAGGGCGGGGATGGCAAGGAGGCTGCGCCCATCGACTCCGACAGCAACCTTCTGGCTCTCATTAGAGATGTCCTCCTTCCCCAGTAAGTACCGTGCTCTGCACTCACCCAGAGGCCTGTGGGCCGCCCAGGATGCCGCGGCCAGACGAGGGGCACCGCTGGCCTTGGGGTCTCCCTGTCCCGACATTCATGTCCACGTGCTAATGTGCTCACCGTGAGGCAGTCAGGACCAGAGGCAGTAACTGTTACATTGCCTGGGACCCCGGAGAATCTCCGTCCATGTTGAAAAATACCATTTAGAGGTTCTGTTTTCTACAGACTCTGAGGTTATGCAGAGTTAAAGGTGTCTATGGCTGGGGGTTTTGGGGGTGGTGAAGTTTATTCTTCAAGGTCAACATGATAAGACTGCTGGAAGATGGAATTGGGACTTTCCCGGGCCCTGCTCAGAAAGGATAGAGAGGGGAATCTTCCTTCCTCCCAAACTCTTGTAATGGAGATTAAGTTTAGATACAGAAAGGGGGTGGGGGAACAAGTAGTAATTACCAGAAAGAGGTTATCTTTGTCCTTTTTACTCCGTTACTCACCTAGCAAGCACACAGTAGGGTGATTACAGAGACCTGACCTCACGTCGTTTGTGCAGTAGCGCTCTCTACAGGCCTGGAGCCCGGGAGCAGCAGGCGGTCCCTGTGGCTGAGGTGTGTGGTGGGCTACACCACCTAGGCTGTGTAGGTGCACTCCCATGTGCGCTCAGTGACGAAATCACCTAACGCATTTTTCAGAGTGTATTCCCGCCATTGAGGGGCACATGGCTATGTCTGACAGTGTGTGAATGGCATGTACTTAGGTGGGTAAATATAAGCTTTGAGCCTGTGTCATGGGGTTAATTAATTTTGATGCCATCTTACACTTACAAACTGGTTATACATAATCATAAGCATCTTCCTGACTAATGCCTAATAATGTGACTTTTGTGCCAACTGTGATTTTTAAAAGAGATGTAGGATAGCTGCTATCTGACAGCCTAAAGGGGGATTCACATCTTGGGCAGGACGGTGCAAGAATTTGTTATGCTACTCAGAAGGGCACACAAATTAACACTTAAGTATTGCTTCCGGGGTTTTTCATTTAATATTTTCAGCTGCAGATGACCACAGATGCTAGAACCGTAGAAAGCGAAACTGGGGTTAGGGTGGGGCTACTGTAGATATCCTGTCAGTCCTAACAATTTTGTTAACATTTTGATCCTTTTTTGACCTTAACACTTTGGATAAAGCCAAGGCGACAGGCCCCTCAGTTTTTCACAGGAGAGTGTTGTATTAGTATTTTATTTGCAAGTAGCAACCCTGGACTCTAACTTGGAAAATAATTATTTACTCACTGAGAAGTCCAGGATTTGCACTGACATCAAGTAAAACTAGATTTGGGGCGTTTGAGTTCATTTCTCAGAACCAGGTGTGTCTGCGTCCGTCTCCATCTCTCCGGCTGCCCTCTCCTGCGTGGCTTTGCTCTCAGAGAGGTTCTTTCTTGTTGGGAAACGACTCCTGGGCGCTGATCCCAGGGAAATTTGACCTTAACACTTTGGATAAAGCCAAGGCGACAGGCTTTTCCTGGCCCCTCAGTTTTTCACAAGAGAGTGTTGTAATTCGTATTTTATTTGCAAGTAGCAACCCTGGACTCTAACTTGGAAAATAATTATTTACTCACTGAGAAGTCCAGGACTTGCACTGGCATCAAGTAAAACTGGATTTGGGGCGTTTGAGTTCATTTCTACAGAACCAGGTGTGTGTGTGTCCGTCTCCATCTCTCCGGCTACCCTCTCCTGCGTGGCCTTGCTCTCAGGGAGGTTCTTCCTCGTTGGGAAACGGCTCCTGGGCGCTGATCCCAGGGAA